AGGTAGCTTTGTCTACCTCTATAAGTTGAGAGATAATATGACATTATTAAATAAATAAATAAATTGAATTTAAACAATCAGAAGTTTCAATAACTAAAGAATAATTAAACATACCCAGACGAATTGGTAGGTTGCAAATTCCTATGAGTATTACACCAAAATGACCCATTCCATTGCCCTCAATGAAAGTGGTGGAATTCCATCATGATACAAGAACATCCTTGAATTATTGAAGACACCAATCACCACTGAAGCTGAAACACAAAAAAAAATAATTCCCATAATTTAATAGTTAAGTTTTAGTTTTAAAAAGTCAAATCCTATGTACAGGTAGCTTTGTCTACCTCTATAAGTTGAGAGATAATATGACATTATTAAATAAATAAATAAATTGAATTTAAACAATCAGAAGTTTCAATAACTAGGGAATAATTAAACATACCCAGACGAATTGGTAGGTGGCAAATTCCTATGAGTATGACACCAAAATGACCCATTCCATTGCCCTCAATGAAAGTGGTGGAACTCCAACGTGATACAACGATATCATTCGAATTTCGAAAGACACTCATTACCACTGAAGCTGAAACACAAAAAAAATAATTTAAATAACTTAGTAGTTAAGTTTTAATTTTAAGAAGTCAAATCCTATGTACAGGTAGCTTTGTCTACCCCTATAAGTTCAGAGATAATATGACATTATTAAATAAATAAATAAATTGAATTTAAACAATCAGAAGTTTCAATAACTAAAGAATAATTAAACATACCCAGACAAATTGGTAGGTGGCAAATTCCTATGAGTAATGGCACCAAAATGATCCATTTTATTACCCTCAGAGGAAGTGGTGGAACTCCAACATGATACAACGATATCTTTTGAATTTTGAGAGACACTCATCACCATTGAAGCTGAAACATAAAAAAAATAATTTCAATAATTTAGTAGTTAAGTTTTAGTTTTAAGACGTCAAATCCTATGTACAGGTAGCTTTGTCTACCTCTATAAGTTGAGAGATAATATGACATTAATAAGTAAACAAATAAATTGAACTTAAACGATCAGAAGTTTCAATAACTACAGAATAATTAAACATACCCAGACAAATTGGTAGGTGGCAAATTCCTATGAGTAATGACACCAAAATGATCCATTTTATTACCCTCAGAGGAAGTGGTGGAACTCCAACATGATACAACGATATCTTTTGAATTTTGAGAGACACTCATCACCATTGAAGCTGAAACATAAAAAAAATAATTTCAATAATTTAGTAGTTAAGTTTTAGTTTTAAGACGTCAAATCCTATGTACAGGTAGCTTTGTCTACCTCTATAAGTTGAGAGATAATATGACATTAATAAGTAAACAAATAAATTGAACTTAAACGATCAGAAGTTTCAATAACTACAGAATAATTAAACATACCCAGACAAATTGGTAGGTGGCAAATTCCTATGAGTAATGACACCAAAATGACCCATTTTATTACCCTCAGAGGAAGTGGTGGAACTCCAACATGATACAACGATATCTTTTGAATTTTGAGAGACACTCATCACCATTGAAGCTGAAACATAAAAAAAAAATTTCAATAATTTAGTAGTTAAGTTTTAGTTTTAAGACGTCAAATTTTATGTACAGGTAGCTTGGTCTACCCCTATAAGTTGAGGTGCAATGTGGCATTACTAAATATATAAATAAATTGAACTTAAACAATCAGAGGTTTCAATTTAAACATACCCAGACGAATTGGTAGGTAGTAAATTCCTATCAGTTATGTCACCAAAATGACCCATTTTATCACTCTTAGTGGAAGTGGTGGAACGCCATCATGATACAACTATATGTTCTGAATTTTGATAGACAATCATCACCATTGAAGCTGAAACACAAAAAAAAATATTATTGTATATACTTAAAGAGTCAAATCATGTGTTGTTATCTTTGTCTATCGCTATGGGTTATGATGTGTAATGTAGTTTAAATAAACAAATAAATTAAATGTTCAAATGTTTCAATGAGTAGATAATAATTAAAAGTACCTAGACGAATTGGTGGAGGGCAGGATTCAATGAAGCCAAAACGATCCATTTTGTTACCCTTAGTGGAAAGTGGTGGAACCCCCATCATGATATAAGGACATCCTTGAATTTTGAAACAAATTAATCACCATTGAAACTGAAACACAAAAACAAATAATAACAATAATTTGGTTATTAAGTTTTAGTTTTAAGAAGGCAAATTCTGTTTGCGGTTAGCTTTGTCTATCTCTATAGGTTGTAGTGTAATCTAGTTTGAATAAATAAATAAATAAAATGTTCAAAGGGTAGAGAATAATTAAGCGTACCTAGACGAACTGGTAGGGGGTAAATTCGTACGGGTTATGACACCAAAAGGATCCAATTTAATACCCTTAGTGAAAGTGGTGGAACTCCATCATGATACAAGGACATTCTTGAATTTCACAAAATAATCGTCACCATTGAATCTGAAACGCAAAAAAAATATTACCAATAATTTAGTCGTTAAGTTAGTAAATATTTTGATATAAAATGATTGATGGTGATTTTACATTAATAAAATTATTTGCAACCCTATTTTGGCTCTGTTCTTTCACGGTAAACAAACTATTTTGGCATCAGTGTCTTTTTTTCCAATTGAAACGGGTGACAAAGATAAATAAGGAAGCATATAGAAGAATTATTTGTTGCTAAACTGAAGAAATTATAACATACAGATAGAAAAACTATATCTCAATCATTTCAAATAGAAAAATCATACTTAATCATCGCAGCTGATGATACAATGCAAACACCACTATTAGTTTAGAAAAACTCCAATATTTTAAAAATGAGTAAATGCCTGCAAGGTTTTCTTAAAAAATATTTTATACTTAAGTAAATGTAGAAAATTAAANTTTGTCCAAATTGATGGAAAATTACAATGAAGCTTTCATAAATTACGTATGGTGAAAATATTTTTAACTTAGATAATTCCATTATAAAAATGAAATTTTTAGAACCAACCAATTAAATATTTCAAATTTAAATTTACAGTAGTAAATGTTAATTAGTTAAAAAAAGCATCATCATCATTTTCATAAGTTCGTCAGTCCTAAGACTGGTTGGACAAGTATTTCCACCCTTTCCTACTCTGACCTAATCTTCGCATTTCCCTAAAACTAGAATCTAGGTCTACCCTTACTCTACTTTTCTGACTAGCCCTTCCTGCCTTAGGTGTCCTACCAACCTATCTTATTAAAAAACATAAAAAGCATAAAACAGTAAGGCCATAAGATAGATTCTTATCAAAAAAAAGTATATCAAAGGATAAATTTACAAAGGAGTGTCTCGAAATTACTGTTGACGTAGGCTTGGGGCCCCTTCACGGTTAGAAAAAGGCTTGTATACAATTTTCTTACACAGTGGATCTTTCGGTATTATAAATATTTGATATTACTTCTAATGTAGCGTTTCCTAATTGGTAATTATATAATCAACGGAATTGTTTTATGGATTCACTAATTAACTTACAAGCTGAAGTATAAAAAAGCTCCAGAAAAAGCCCAAGTTCAATGCTAGAAATTTCCAGAAGGCAATCGCATTTCACCATACATTTTCTTGCAATAAATAATTATTTTATTATCGCCGCTTAAGCCTCATATATATTACAGGTAACATATTGTTAACTTCAAAATCGTACCAGGCAGAGAGGCAGATAACAACTGTGACACATCGACACGTCACACAATTACGTGGGTCAAGTAAAATTCCGAAAGATGAATAAAAAGCTGTAAAAGTATGTAAAATTCGTCTTGCCAACTCGAGCTGTTATAATTATTTTTCCACTAGCTGTTGTTAATAGCAATAATATGAATATCTTTACGAAGTCGTTTATCGAATTTGATGCACTAAACTATCGGAAAATGCAAAAAAATCAGCAAAAATAATTATTTATTGCACCTAACAATGGTACCACATAAAAAGATCTCAATTATTCAAAAATGAAAATTTACTCCATTGGTCTTTTCTTCAATTTTTTAACGGTAAAAAGACACTCGTTAGAAAACATTTGCTTATCAGAGCGACCTTTAACGTTAAGAAAGACAATTTTAATCTGGAGGCAAAAAATATGTTTCTATGATCAATAAAACTTCAAAAAGTATTTTANAAAACACAAGAACGAAAACTGACGCGCGCATTATATGTTATCCCGAAGTCCCTGTAGCTCCAACCTCCAACTTCGCCGTGATACCCCAAGAAATCATTAGATTTTAATACAATAATCAGTAACTGAGTTGGTTGTTATTTGACGAAGTTTGTGTTTATTATTTAAATTTTAAAACACAAATTAAAACGATAGATAGAGAAATGCAGTGAATGAATAGATAAAGGATGAAATATAGAGAATACATAGAAAAGGATAAGGGAAATTAGTAAATAATTGAAAGGATATGAATGACGTAGTTAAGGTAAGGGAGAATAGAAGGGAGATGGAAAAAAAAATAAAAAGTGGTGAAATGTGGGTGTATGAGGAAAAGTAAAGATTGGGATGATTGTAGTGAGATGATAAATGCATTGAAGGAAATGATGAAAGTTCTAGAAACGTATTTAGAAAGAAAAGGATTGAAGTTGAACATTAGTTAGACAAAGCATATTGAGAGTTAAGTTGGAAAGAGGAACTAATAAAAAAGGTGAAGAAGTATGCATATTTGGGATATGTAATGGAGCAGAATAATAGTGATAAAATACAAATAAATGCACAAATTGCTTCATTAGGGAGAAGTAGGGGATAGAGTAAAGTGTGTATAAAAACGATTGGGATAGGACGAAAAGTTTGTTTCATGCAATTATTAGTATTAAATATGTGGCGAAATAACACTTATTATTTTTTTTGTGTGCGTGTGTGTAAATATTTTTTCTAATTTTATTTCATTTCAATTAATATTTCATTTCAAGTAATATTTCCTTTCAGTCTAAACTCTATTGTCCTTTCAATCACTTTTACCTGGAAATCCAACTTCAACCATACCTGCATGCACTCCCATACTAATATCTGGTTTTACCCTTAATTGCTTTCTTTTGAATTCTGTACTGTCTAATTCTATGTATTCCTATAAACTAGTGTCTTCACCCTCTCTCTCACTACTTTTCCTTCTAGAACATTCTATCAAAATTACTAACAATCCTATACTATAAATACTCCCAAATTTCATATCTCAGGACAGTCTCTCGTCTACCACTACTACCACCTTTCGTAAGTGCCTTTGCCTATTTGCTACATTGTTTCATTTTTGTTGTCTTTGTTATTGTTATTGTTATTGTTGTATTATCTTGTTCTTTCTGTTACCTTGTTCTCGTTTGTTTGTTTCACCCTTTGTGCTTTTTGTTACTTGTGTTTTCGTTTTGTTCTGGTTATTATAAATTGTTATTTGTTATTATTAGTGTTTTTTTGGTATTTAAGTAATACCCATCTAAAGACACTAAAAATATGAGAGTGGAATGAGCAGAAACAAGTGGAGAACATATAGGTATATGGATTTAAATTGAATAGATATGCACCGGATTATTTGGTTAGGATATAGTTAAAATATGGTAAGATGACGGAGGAAACAAGAAAGAGAGTACCTAGTTAAATATGAAATGAAATTGGAAAAGTTACAAGAGGGGAATATCAGAAGAGACGTATGGAGAACGGGAATCTTAAAAATTAATATAAAAGAAGTGGATACGATAAAGAAAGGGAGAAAGCTTTAAGAGAATTAAAGCTGAATCAAGAGCAATTAAATAAATGGACGTGGCAGGAAAAATAGTGAAAATAAGATGTTGGAAATGTAAAGGGCGATCTGAGAAGGTATGAAGGATTTGTTATGGGGGCAATGAGCTAGGGTATGTGAAATAAAAGAAACATTTGAATGTATTAGCAAGGTGAAAATAAAAAATTGTAGATGGATTAATTTGTGCTATAATTAATTCTCAAATAATAAATTATTGACTAACGGTGTTGTTGCAAATTAATTTTACGTATAAGATGAAACTTGCATGTACTGGAGTATTAAATATAGACGTTCAAATTTTTAAAGAACATTCAAAATCATAATAGAGATAGTGAGTAAAACAATAATATGGTTAAATTGTGGACCATATATTTTCAGACACGTGTATTTTTAGTAAGTATAAGTTGGATGATTGTTTAATAAAAATGAGTTCAGAATAAATTGAATTGGAAGCTATTAAATAAGAAAAATTCCATTGAAACTTTTGCTTTTAAATTTGTAATTTTAATAAAAGTAAGAAAGACAAGCAAATAAAAGACAAAGTAAATAAAACTTGTTAAAACAGCATTCTCTTTTAATAATTTTATTTAAGAAAAAATTAAATTACTAACATATTTTTATATGCGAATACTAAATCATCAATAAAACGTAACAATAAAATGTAAATTATTTAATTATTAATCCTCAGTGTATTTATTTAATACAAGCTAATGATTGAGCAGTCAAGGACAATAGGTATTTTATTACTTTGAATCACCCAATTTTTTATTTGCACTAAAATTTATTTTTAAATGTACTGTATCACGTACGTAGTCATACACGCATCTTACAGAAAAACAAAGAAAGGACGTTGAATCCTTAATGTCCTTTTTGCGCACAGTTACAAATCACAACCCACGATATAACTTCTCAATTTAATCTGATTTATCAAATGTTTTTATGAATAAAACTAATGTTATTTATTAAACATTTTACTATAAGGATTAAATACACAATTTCTGTTTGTAACTGAGCATAATAAGACAAAATTTTATAATTTACCGTGTGTAAGTACTTACATATTCAAATCGGCCCCCGGACGATAATTGAAGATCCTTATAATCCTGCACATGTAGTAATTAAAAACGTAAAAGCTCTGCGATGCACTCTATATTAAAAATAACTTTAAATTTATCGGTAGTACGATTTTATTCAAGCTTTAAAGCACAACAGAAATAAATGACCTCACCGCTCGAACATCGCCGACAACTGAGCATTCGATGTGCTGTTCAGGCTTGCTTATCAAAGATTTGACATTTTCAAGGTTCTTTATCAAACATTTACAGATTTTTATAATGTACAAAGCTGAAACTTTAAATATTTACTATCTTTCAATAGATGTCATAGAACAAACTTGATATACAAGGTTTGGGCCACCAATTTTGTAACAATCTACTTAGTTTCAAACTTTGAATTTTGAGGATTATTTATAAAGGAGTAATGTTTGATTAGAGTTTAAGATTTAGAGAGCAATGAGGACAAAAGCATTTTAATATCGTTTTAGTCAAGTTATTGACGATGCAATTTTTGTGGAACTGCATATTTGAATTGAAAAACAAGAAAAGAATGCAATTTTAAAATTAATTAAAAAGGTTTTGCATAAAATTCTGTGGACTGTTACAATTGCTTTCTTTTTTAGTTCTTTGATCTTTAACACACTTCCTATGTCAAAAGATTGAGGAAGAACAAAGTTGAAAAAAGTTAATTTGGAATGTTAGAATCAGCTTTCGTGACCGAAGTCCATGGAAAACTGAGATTCAGGAAATGGTCCAAGATCGAAATAAACCAGCCGGAAACTGCGACTAACGTATACAATGTATGACTTTAAATTGTATTCAATTCATTTAAATTCCCGAAAGCAATTGTTTGAAATTTAAATATTCGGATATTTAAATAAGTATCCATATATTTAAATACTCAAATTCCATTATTTTTTATCAAGGGTTTGTCGAAATACTTGAATCTTTACAAATATTCAAATATGGGATAGTTTTTGGGATATTCAAATGAAATTGTAAACAAATACATGAATACTTAAATACGAAAAATTTCGATTCCTAATTCGTAATTGTACCTACTATTTGATTGATTTGGCTGTAAATAAAGAGAAAGATACGAAACAAATTTGAAATAGATATGCATTATAGTTAACTTTATTTGTAATATCCTTTTATAAAGTTTTATATGAACAAGAAAGCCAAACAAACTGTCTAAAATAAATCCAAATCAATAAGTGGTTAGCAAAGGGATAGTATATAAGCATTATGTCGTAAAAGCATTAAATATATTTTCCGTTCTTTTTGAATTGGATTTATTCATTTTCTTAAACGCTATTACAGTGTAAAAGACATGAGATGAATGTTAAAACTTCGAAATTTAATAGATTATGTATTCTATTGAGCACTAATTTTAGCTCATATCCTGATAACATTGCAGTACTTATGTACTTTACATGTAGGTATGTATTGTTCAATGTACATACATTATACCAATTACGTTAGTATTATGTATTCACTATTTATTTATTTATACATTATAATTGTAGTGTAAAAAGTTAATTAAAATACAAAAGACCAGCAAAATGACTTTGTAAAAATAATAATGATTAGTAATATCTCGTAGGTACATGANATCTAAAGCCAAAGTTCATGTCATTCTAACTTACCTCTATACTTAACATTATGAGAAAAGGGTTACTTGATAAGAATGATGGAAATTGGCCTTATGGGGTTCAAAATATTTTTGAAATGCAACATCTTTTCGCTAAGTAAGTGCGATAATTGGAACTATCGCTGCTTTGAGTACAGTTGGTACTTAAATAGATAAGAGAAAAATGGAGAAAGAGACAGAAGACACACCTGACAATCGTTTGGTTCGTTGTACAAATTGATCTGATGTAAAATTACTTCAATCAATACCAGACTCTTATATTTTCCCGAAAATTTTGCTTGTTAAATACATTATTGATTGTAATAGATTACAGGTTATATAATATGAGTAAAAATAGTAAACAAGATCGTATTAACAATCCACCCTTTCCAAATTTTGTTACTTTGAGGGGGTTTGTGAATTTTAAAACTTTCCACATGAAACGGCGAAAAAGTGTCTTAGGTACACGCTTTACAGGCAAATGGGATTCTGTTGTTAAGTTCGCCAAGTTTTCAATGACAACCCTGCATATTTGGAACATTTGTTCACTAAGCATCTATGTACTATGTACTAAAAAACTTACAATTAGCAAGGTATAAAAGTGTGACTGTAGCTAGCAAGGGAAAATAACGAAGAAAATCTATTTTCAAATGGTCAAGAAAAATTATTTCCGTTTTCTCTTATTCTACTTATATATTATATATATGTAGGATGCTCGTTTTTGTAATTAATAATTAAAAGCGAGGAAATTTGGCAGAAACTGGTATTTGTACAGAAAACTTGGTATTCATTAAGTCAGAAAATTATCACATTGTTAATTAACAAAATGATTAAACGACAAGTGTTTCTTATAAAAATCGAAGTTTAAGTACACTTCTGTTGACAAGGAAACAAAACAATTAAAAAACAATTAGGTACAGGCTTGACGCTCGAAGCTGGCGGAAATGATATGGAGCGCGATAACAAAAGTAGGCAGTTTTTGTTATAACAATTGCAGCCCTCTTTCTTCAGTATTCCCATCAGGGGCGCAAATTAAATATTTAAAAGTAGAGATTGGTTTACAAAATTAGACTGAAAAAATTAACTTAATAAAAGCTCATTTGTGTATCGATTCCGAGTGATTTACCCAAATAAGCCATAAATGGGCAAGTACCTGCGCGACCGCTCGCCAGTTTCGTTCGTCTGACCTGTACTTATATATGTTCTGTGAAAGTTTTTAATTCATATTTCGTTTTTGCTTATATTATTGCAGTGAAAACAAATGGTTGTAATAATTTTTAAACTGTTACGTGTTTTTTTTTCTTATCTGTACAAATAACAGCTTTCCATTCTCTTTCCTGATAACGAACACCCCGAACATTTTACTATAAGGATTAAATACACAATTTCTGTTTGTAACTGAGCATAATAAGACAAAATTTTATAATTTACCGTGTGTAAGTACTTACATATTCAAATCGGCCCCCGGACGATAATTGAAGATCCTTATAATCCTGCACATGTAGTAATTAAAAANTTTTGCTTATATTATTGCAGTGAAAACAAATGGTTGTAATAATTTTTAAACTGTTACGTGTTTTTTTTTCTTATCTGTACAAATAACAGCTTTCCCTCTGTTTTCCTGATAACGAACACCCCGTATAGTAAAGATGGCGAAAACTTTGGTAAAATATGGCACTGCTTATGCAATCACTTTTTTGACTAGAAGGGTAAAGAATACGCATAAATACCATAAAAAACAATAATTGCAATAAAAATGGTAATTGAAGAAGAGCCTATATAAGACTAACGACTAATGTTATTGATAATTAATAAGTATATAATATAATACGCTAAACAAGCTTTTATATCCTATGTTACCTGTATTTATTATACGATTAGAGATCTAATTTTGTAATGGATACACGTAAATGTGAAAATCAATTAGAATTTTAAAAAAAGTCAACAAAAGTCTTCCAGACATCAGAAAATTTTCGAACATGCAATTGTTATTTTCTTGTTAGTGTTATTGGCGTTTGAAGTACGTAAGAAAAACGATAGAGAAAAACAAAAAAAAAAGTAAAAATACAAAAATAAAACAATCACGTTTTTTATTTACAGTCGCTTATAATTATCGAGGGAAAAAAGTTGTTGCTGTTATAATAATAATAATAATAATTAAATATCATGTATATTGTGTGCAATCAAGCTTGTGCTTATAAATTGAATATTATTGTGCAACGTGCATACATTTCAAGTTGATTATGAAACTAATTTATTATTTTGTCGAACAGGAAAACATTTATTTGTTCATTACTAATGCAAAATGTTAATGTAGTGCAATTTGGTTGGCTTGTTGTTTTCGCGACTTATATACAAAATACAATTCTGTCGATAGTTTTGATTTCAATGCGACTCTGTGACAATGGTTATCATTATGACTATTTGACATCTGGTATTATTGATTGTTAAATGTAATTAGTGGTCATTCGACATTCGTTATGGGCGAATATGCAGTAATTCTTTAATTGTTTTATGGTGCTAATGACACCCTTTGTCTCTGCATTCAAACAAATGAAGCCCTGGACACAAAACCACTTGCTGCCACAACAACAGCCAATCATAGTGTTTTATCATGGGTAGAGATCAATATTTGATAGAGATCAGAGGAATTTGAAGGCTTAACAGTGTTATTTATCCCATATTTACTTCTCGTAACTGCATCACAACAATAAAGAAGGGAAATAAAATTTAGAAAATACTGGACAATAAATAAATTGACCCATAAAGGGTCTTAATGGGCCATCTGTAGTGCTGTTAAATCAGTTAGCAACCGACACGTACTACCACCTTATTGATATTTAAACACGAATATTTTTTTCCATTAAATATCAATTTACTGCAATATTTTAAATATTTTAAGTTATTTTATTGCATCAATATTCGTATATTACGTCACGCTGTTTCTGCCCCCTCCCTTCTTGCCACGTCACGCAGACATTTGTATTCCTTCGCTAGTGAGTAATTACTTTGAAATACTAATATTATTTTTGACAGTATCTTAAGAACAACTTGAATATTATTTAAGAAAAGATGAGAGAACATTTTTATAAATAATTTCTTAATGGTCATTTTAAAATGACAATTCTAAAGAAAACACAAGAACGAAAACTGACGCGCGCATTATATGTTATCCCGAAGTCCCTGTAGCTCCAACCTCCAACTTCGCCGTGATACCCCAAGATCCACTCACGAGTGATGTAATATATGAACGGCTACCATGTTATCAATTCGATTCATTTACAAGTCTGATATCCAGTATCACAGTTTATCAATTTGTAATTATTGTTTCACAGCGTTTTATACATATCCGAACGCCAAATAATTTGCTGGTAATTAACATTTTCATTAGTAATAATATTCCACAGTTACCGGTGACCGGAAAAGGTCCTTACTTTGTGTGTATTATGTGTTGTTGTAAGTCGATTGTAAGTGTTTATAAAAAATATATGTGATGTCTGGAAGCGTGTGTCTAAAAACGAACAATGTCACCATGTTAATAATAAACGTTTATTATTTTATTGACAGGTACGTTTCTTATTTATATCCATACACAATAATAGAAAACCGATGCGTTATTTGTATATTATAAAAGGGCACACGCAAATTTGCGAACAAAGGGCGTCAAATGTTTCACAACGATGAATTCGAAAAACAATAAAAAAAAAATTTAAACAAAAAGAATCAACGAAACGATACCGACAACCGCTACAAGCACATGTTATGTTATGTTATTGTGTAGTAATAAATGCGTAAATATAGTGATAAATCGGCTGTCGCTGCGCACGCGCGTGGCGAATGATAAGCATGCTTAACGCGCCATCATGGCATCGGCGTATGTTTTTATTTTATTATGAACTGATGCGATCCGCTGCTTTTGTATCCGCGGATAACGCCTCCCCTACTAGTTTCATTTATTTTATTTTGTCCTCGGACCGTCTGTACACGTTGTAGTAGGCTACTTACTATTTTTTTATTTACTTTTGCCTCTTAATAAATTCATTTATTACATTGAGAAAATGGTTAAGTACACAAATAATTGCAAAACATACCCTGTATTTCTAGAATCACTTCTCTGCTCTAATAAAATGATTATTATCCGCTCATGCACAATATTATTAATTTTAATGATTAATCGTAGTAATAATAATAGTAGTTAATAGTTATTTAGTTTAGTTAGTAGTAGTAGTAGTAGTAATAAGTACTTGAAAGATGACTAGACTAGATAATTCGGGAAGCTGTTACTGCTCACCCGGAGCAAGTGTACGAATACCTATTAGTTTACGCCCTTTTAAGTAAAAAATCGCTAATTACTATTTAACTTATCCTGATACAACCACACAAAACGTTCAAAAATTTTAATAATGTTTGTTATTTATTCTTCAATCATTCTCTTTTCTAATTAATGCGAATAAGTCGTCCAAGGTTGGTTAATAATTTTTTAACGTTTTCTGTGATCATCTCTGGACAATTTGAAAAACAACCGTTTCTTTACAGTACCAGAACATCGACCAATACCGCTCAAATTTACGAAAATAAATAGATGCATTTAAATCCACCAATTTATACGAAATATGTAATAAAATTATGTCCGTGGTCAAATTGTATCGGAACTGTCGGACGTGATTTGTAATTTCGCACTCTTTGGTTCTCATCAGCACGCCGACAGAACCTACATATTGTCACTAAATAGCGTTCAATGAATATGTATCGACAGCGTAGTGAACGCCATCTGTATTTATGAAAATTTACCATCAATCAGAACAATTGATCATAAAAGTTTTCATTGCAATTGTTTTAATACTTAAACCAAACGATTACGTTATGATAAACTGGAGTAATATTGTTTGTTGTCCTACCTGCATTTTCCACGGCATTTTTGTTTCATCATCAAAGAATAACGGACATTTTTGTAAGAAAGCAACCAATGTGATCAATTCCAGCGCCAGAAGGAATGTATTAAGCAAGCCTGGAATGCACTAGCCTAAGATTTCTATCATTTTAAAAAAATATATATGTACTTATATGAACAATTATTTCGTGTTCGTGTGTGTGTGTAAGTGTGTACAAGTTCTACAAAAAAAAAAAATAAACGAACAAACAAAAACAAAACTATAGATCTAAATGTTATCGACATAAGAAGTAGGTGATAAACAAAACTTTCTATCTGCCTGCATTCTCATCGTCATCAGTCGCTGTTAATATTGCACAACAAAATAATCAAATGCTAAGAAGTATCCAACAGTATCAAGATTTTCAATAAATAGTTATAATAATAATAATAATAATAATACGTAATAATAATAATTTGTTTTACTTAATAAATAGTATATCTTAAAGTTTAATTATACTAAATTTATTAACTAACCGTTACTGAAAGTCTGAGAAAATTCCATTTCATAGGTACCGTAGGACTTTATGACTACACTGAAAGCATTAAGTGCTATAAAAAATTTTGATTTTTTTTCTTTTGTGACTAGTACTAATATGACCCGTAACTCCACCAAGCACAAGGAAAGAAGAAGTTACTACTTACCATTAAAATAATTTACAATTTAATTACCGTCAAAAAGAAATTTTTTCTTTTACTACCCACGAAATGGAATTTCCAGTTTTCTTCTCTATAAATATAAGAGATAATTTGACTAGAGTGGCCCAGCCAAGTAGTGTCCTTAATTAATTATCTACTATCCGGCCCAGACAGTAAATGTCTCCGAAGCATTTACTATTTTTTTTTTATCTTAACTTTTCAACAACTATTTGGCAAAGTGACAACTTGCGTTTGTTACCAATTTTTTTTTTTTAAATAATGTACTTAATATTAAGAATTATTATTAACGTATGTATTAGATAAAATTCATTATACCACACTCACTGCCCCCGTTGTCCGTTTTAGTTTAACATTTCTCCCTCCCTCTCGACCACTACAGCGTTTTTAGTCGGAGGAAGGGGTAGCTTTTTTGTTTTGGGGGGTTGGGGGGGGAGGGGTTGAGCGTGTAGACGCCGCACCTCACGACCATATCTCCCACTCTACAACTATCGAAGGTACCTAAGTACATTATGTATAATAATTATTACATTATTATGCATTTCTACTCGTCTATTAATGTACATGTTATTTAAGTAGTATATTAATTGGTACTTTTGTAAGGATTATGTTATTATACTTATATGATGTAGAAATGTTATATATATATATAATGTATATATACTAATTTGTATATAAGTATGAAAGTATGTATAAATACACTGTGGCTCCTTTAAGGTTGCGGCTGGCGCTGTTGCACGATCTACAACGGATATAAGCGCGTTTCTGTGCAACGTAGCCGCAATTATGGACTCGAGCCATTTGCATACTGCACATTTTTGATGCGCAATAACACACGAGCGCACGCGCGCGTTACGTACACACGCCTAGAGTGACTAGAGGTAAAGGAACATCGCCTCATCCAGCTTTGGCATCTGTGTAGGGACGGGTAAAGCATACAACGCGTTCAAACTCGTTATTTACGACAACAATTAATTAATTGCAAGTCAATCAACTCCCTGAATGGATTGTGGGAACGTTTAGATTTTTTTAAGCAATAAATCAGTAGTAAATGCTAGTCGAAACCATTCCACTCAATTCCCTCCTTTTGATCTTAGATTACTTAAGAATTTCAAGCATTAATGGTTTCACCACTAGATTTATACTTTTATATATGATCCTTTAATATCGCACTTTTTTGACGTCAATGGTGATAACTTTTTTAAATTGTATTAATATATACTGCTTTTCCTACTTCGGAAAAATGATTATTAGTTGTTATAGATTATTGTTAAAAAAAGCCAATTTGTTACGAATAAATTGAGAAACATATACCTATACTTTGTTAAAAAAAGTCTAGGAAATATTAATATGAGGTAGTTATAGCGGGCCAGCAGCAAACCTGGTCCGTAATGAGTTAAAGGACATACACCAAAACAGAGGTAACAATGTTCTTATTGATATCATATGTTAAACCACTTTTTTTATTAATGTGAAAATTTATTTTCAATTTTTTATCCACTACAAACTACTTCAGGTTAACGAGGAAAAAATTTGTTTCTGTTGTCACACCCTCGCCGGGGATTGAACCCGGCACGTTTGGCTTTACGCATCAATACTCTGAACACTAAGCACTAACACAAAGGTCCCAGGCTCGATTCTCGGAGAGGGTGTGACAACAGCAACAAATTTTTTTCCTTCATTAACCTGAGGTAATTCGTAATGGATAAAATATTGAAAATGAATTTTCAAATTAATATTTCATATTAACCACTATTAAAAATTAAAAAATGTCACTTTTTTTAACTATAATTAACTTAGTAGGTAGGTAGGTCATAAAATTAAATTGCTTAAAAAAATCTGACGCACTTACCGTTTTGGCATTAGTGTGCAATTTTTTTGGGAGCATTATTTTTTTAGTCGCTTGATGTACAAAGAAATCAAAAAAAAATTCGAGTAATTTTCTTGTTCGGACCCACTGTACGGCTTTACCATGTTATCGTTATTTTTTCGACATTGTCCTGTTAGAAGATTAATTATATCTGTTTACAGTTTAACACGTAATACATATAGAGTACAATAAGATTAAATCTGAAAATAGTAATACGCCTCATGTACGAGAAGACAAAACGGCCTGTACAATCAAACATTGAATTGTTTTTAATCACAGCCCATTTGGAATTTCTCAACTAATCAGGGGACAATGTGTGTAGTTTTAAGTTTGGAAGGATCTAGGCATGTTCCAAAACGTTCGATAATTCCTTTTTCCCTTTGGTTTACGTTTTGTCCGTTTTTATTTGGTTTTCACTTATTATTTATTTATTTTTTGTCGTTATTTATCCATCCTTCGCCTTCTTCGTCGGGGTACTCTGCTTGCTTCGTCTTCTTGGTTTCGATAATAAATTATGAATAATAATAATTGTAACAATATGTTAATACTTAAAATTCATCTTCTTCAAGTTTTGTTAGTATACTATTGGCTGGTGATGTGCGACGACGGCGTAGGTGTCTTCCAAATGAAAGGCCCAAGGTTAGTAGGGCCTATTGGCGTCCTTGGGCCTCTTCAGTTGAACCTTCAATCTCTTCATCCCTATTTGGAAACCGTTCATCGCTTGTATTGCCGCCTGAGCACTAGCTGGATTATCAAATGACACGAATCCTAAATAAGAAAAACTTGCTAAGCGCAACATCGGATAATAAACAGTCATTATTATAGGTCAGTAGTTTAGAATGACATGGGTCTTAAGAAATGAACGAGGTGAGAATTATTTAGTTCATATTGTTTATTCGGATTGTACAGTGATTTGGCTTTCATTCCATTGATTCTAACCGTGTGCCTCAATGTACAATCAAGAATGGAGATGAAGCTACAGATAAACTATACAAAGTTTTTAATAGCCAGAAATGTGGAGATCAAAAAACGAATGGAATTTTGTTACTACGTAATCTAAAGCCAAAGTTCATGTCATTCTAACTTACCTCTATACTTAACATTATGAGAAAAGGGTTACTTGATAAGAATGATGGAAATTGGCCTTATGGGGTTCAAAATATTTTTGAAATGCAACATCTTTTCGCTAAGTAAGTGCGATAATTGGAACTATCGCTGCTTTGAGTACAGTTGGTACTTAAATAGATAAGAGAAAAATGGAGAAAGAGACAGAAGACACACCTGACAATCGTTTGGTTCGTTGTACAAATTGATCTGATGTAAAATTACTTCAATCAATACCAGACTCTTATATTTTCCCGAAAATTTTGCTTGTTAAATACATTATTGATTGTAATAGATTACAGGTTATATAATATGAGTAAAAATAGTAAACAAGATCGTATTAACAATCCACCCTTTCCAAATTTTGTTACTTTGAGGGGGTTTGTGAATTTTAAAACTTTCCACATGAAACGGCGAAAAAGTGTCTTAGGTACACGCTTTACAGGCAAATGGGATTCTGTTGTTAAGTTCGCCAAGTTTTCAATGACTTACGAAAGTTACATTTTCATTTCTTTAAATTGAAATTGACGAGAGCTCCTTCGAGAATCGACGCTAACGACAAAATTATGCGAAGAAAAAAGATGAAAGGGAAATATTTCACGAAAATTGTTACATCATTTTTTTTTTATCATGTTGACGCTTGCAACGAATTTTAATTGATACGACCCTCGGAGCACATTCAATTTTCAATTGACATTTCGGAAGACGACGTCCGAATTAATTTTAATAAAGGAAGAGGTGGAATAAATTGATTGATAAATATTTACGATATCTATACAAATGCGTACGCACTTGTTTCAATTTATTTATCACTGTATTATAAATAAGGAAAAACCGCCCCTTCTCTCTCTTCCTTTTTTTAGTAATTAAGAACTTTCTTGTTACTGCTACCACCCGACTAGAATTTATATGGGGCATGCCCCATGTAGTGTGTGGGCCTCTTGTTGCTAATTAGGAGCACGCCGATATAGGGATTTCCCCGTAGATTCCTCATGAAAATCCTACCAAAAAAAGTGGTGATACTAAAATGAAGATTGCCTTACCTTATGGGTTTTTCATATTGGTCTTAAGGGGAAAATCTATCACATGTATGAACTTAATAATTATATCTACCTTATGGAGGCTCAATAAGGTAAATCCGTTTGAAAATACTCTCGGTAAAATGATAAAACATATAATGATAATCCCCTTGCCCAATTATGTCGTTTGTCTCTCACAGTCTCTCAGTTATTGTCTAGGTGTTTTTATGGATCTCTCACAGTCTTTGTATGAGAGACTCGAACGATAAAATTGTTAATTCAGAGATTTGAGTCTCTCAGAGAAAGACTGAATGAATAAAACTGAAAAATTGAGAGACTCGAGTTTCTCGTAGAAAGACTGGGATCTCTGAAATATGTTAAACTTAGAAAATTCATTCAGAGATTCGAGTCTCTCGTTCAGAGACGCTAAACAGTTTTATTGACAGTCTCTCGACAGTCTCTCTCAGCGATCAGAGAGACTCGATGAGAGACGGAGACTCGAGTCTCGCTTTTAGAGACTCTGAGACACTGAATATTTTTATCTCTGGTACCCACTTACGGACCCTAAAATTCTAGTCGGGTATGAACGTGAATGTGGCTCACAACCTCCTTATTACTACTACTGCAAGGATAAATTTTGGAATTCGGGAATACTTTGCCAAATGCGACAAGAATTTTTCATTAAGTAACAAAAAATTATTTTGTAAGCTTTTCGATTTTAAAGTTAATAAAATGAAAACTTACCAAAACACTTGCTCTGATTTGTGGCGCGATCGATGAACACTTTAGAACTAATGACGTTTCCAAATGGGAGGAACATCTGCATCAGTTCAGCATCGCCGAATTCTTGAGGTAAGTGATAAATAAATAAGTTGCAGCCTTCTGGCCCGGATATGGAGCACCCTATCAATCGAAACCGTTACAAAAAATATTTAATAAACAAAAACGGAAAATCTAATTCTAATGTCGTCTATGTTTAATTTTGATTTTAGCCAATGCGAAGACGTTCAGGATTTATGAATGAGAAATGTAGAAATTTATATATTTTCTATGCACAAGTAAATTATTATAGAAATTGCAAGACAATTTTCCTTATATTGAATAACTGTAAAGAAAATATGAAAAATTGGTACAGGCTTTCGCTTCTAGTGGGTAAAATAGTGCTAGTCTGATTCGGGTCTGAAAGCCGTCGTTGGTTGGAGTTAATTCCTAACGTTTCGCTAACATGAGTGGAAAGCTTCTTCACAGATTCTTCCACCTCCGTGTGGATTCCACATCCAGCATCGGAAATGGAAAGACCTGCGAAGAAGATCGCCCCTCGTGCTAGCGGAACGTTGTAAGTTCAAAATATGAAAGTTCAAAATCGGGATTTATATCTGATAGTCCCGATATATTACTACTGACTTGCTGACTTAATGTTCTTTATTAAAGAAAATATGTCTTAGAATTTCATACTTAATACTTATCCTTAAAAAAAATGATAATAATAATAATGCGAGTTTTATCATTCACATTAGCTATAAAAATGTTTTATTACAGCCAAAATATAATAACAAATACATTAGCTAATTGTTTGGTAAAAAGGGTTGATGGTGAAAATTCAGTTTCTTACTGGAGTTCTTGGCAGTAATAATAATGTATGTATATAATTATTTCAAATGAATTTTTTTAAGTTTATTTAGGTTAAAATGATCTAATGCTACAGTCTAACTTGGGCACATCGAAGTACAACAAAGAACAGCTGGACTGTAGCGAACGCTAACATTCAGTGCATTTCACATCGAACATTAAAATACTTTACAAATAAAAATGTAATAATAATAATAAAAACCACCGATGCAACACCATAAGATACATAAATAGATCGTTCAAAAGGCTCATGGCGTCATCATACATGTAACATTTTCAGTCCGAGATGACGATTAGGTAATAACCCAATTAGTAATTAATGAATTCAATTAAACGTTACAATTATGCTGAACTTTCGCCTTTTTGAGACACCTCTCTTCTAACGTCAATGAAGGTATCATCGGTGAAATCATTGCATATAAAAAGACAATAAACAACAGACAGACAAAAGATAGAGAGAGAGAGAGAGAAAAAAGTGACCGTTTTATGCCTTACCTTCCCTTTGAGTAGGTACAACTGCAGACATTGGTTGAGGTATAGCTTGAGGGATCTGGCCGTATACCGCAGGATAAGCTGCCGACAAATTTAAACAAATCACACCAAATACCAACTCCATTAAAGCATTCAACATGCTTTGTAGACTTGTTTGGAACGAAGTTCCTTAACGCAAGGAGGTAACCAGCAAAAATCAGTATTACTAGATTTTTTACGGTAATTAATAATCCTCGAAGATGAATAAATGTAAATAATTCGGCGCAAAACAAAAGAAATTTATTTTCTTCAGTTATTCTCCAGTATTTAAAGACATTTTCAAAGTGCAAGTAATCTTTAAACAATAAGAATTTATATAGCATAAAAATTAAATAAATAATATCCTGACTTTAAATTGCTTAGGTCTAGAGAAATTTCCCTAGGTCTGGCAACGCTGGTCAAAAATCGAACGTGTTAGTAGGCATCCCTCTTCCTCTTACTTATTGTTTGAAGATGAAGCGAGACAGTTGACGAAGTAAATTCGATTACTCTGCCATCTGGTAAATATATCCAATAGGAATAATTTTAAAAACTTTCAGAAGCTAATTTATTAGTAGCAGCCGACACATAGGGGGTGAATATGATAGATGCTTGTCAATGTTTTTTTACTAAAAGTACTTTGACCAAAATTTGTCGAATAGCGTAAGAAACTTCGTTCCTGTTGGACGTCCCACGACATCATATAGGTTGTTTAATTGATTGTTTGCACTTAATAAAAATTTTCGTGAGATTTGAAATTATTTTTAATTCCCACAAATACTCTAATTATTGGTAATTTACCATAAAGGGGCCAAAATTAATTACACATCTACCAATGAAAAGTCCCGTAAAACAAAATAAGGGTAATTAATTTATTTCAACGCCATTATAATTAAAAAAAGAACAAAGGAAAGATTTAAAAAGAAAATAGAATTAAATAAACATAATTGAAGAAAAATTATTTAATTACACATTAATCGACATTTATCAAAATAAGAAAAACGGCTTTGACTAACATTTGAAATACTTCAGCTAGTGACAAACATCAATAGATGTCATTATACTGTTCTAACTCGATATTATATAAACATTCTTCTATAGAGTATCTTTTAGTTGATGATTTATCGAGATATCAAATTAAATCGAAATCGAAAAATTTAATCCGTCCTTATTAAAAGTTCGATATTAAAAATAGATGTGCTTTCGTTTGTCTTACGAAAATTTATTTTGCATAATAATTGTACGTTTATCAGAAGGTAGATATGTTTGAACTTGCTTTACAAATTAGCGTCGTATTTTGGTAAAGACACATAAACAAACAGAGAATGAACAGACAGCATGTCAGATGAAAGGTATGCAAAAGATGTCGTATAAACATATAAAATAAAGCCACAACAGACACAACACGTACAGTACATATATAGCTAATGAACTGTCTCATTAACATAAAGCTTAGCTTCTAGCAAAGGGGTAAATGGGGTAGACAAGATGAACAATTCTTACATCAATTATTATTAGTATATAAAACCGAAAGTTTAACACATCAGTGAGGCTAATTTTTATGTAGGGTAAAGTTAGTGAAGTCAGTTTATTACAACATCCTCATTAAATAAAAAAAAAACGAAATGCAGATAAAGTTTTTGACAGTTGAAATGTAATCTATCCATTTCTTCAGAGGGATGTGTTATTTTCTCCTTGTTCAGATAATGGAAGAAGAATCAATACCAAAAAAAAAAGGTTTTCATTATTTTAAATCCAAAACAGATTAAAATAATTAAAACCTTTTTACCCTGATTGACTCTGATTCTTCATTCCATTTTCTTTACTTTGTTGAGCAACAAAATGAGACAGATTTACAACCTCTTGACGTAAACTTACTGTATGAAACTAGATCTATAGCGGCTATTTGAATTGATGATAATTTTAGAAATGCATATAAGAACGATATCGAGAGTCTAATTTGAACATCGATTGAGTAAAACAGTTTTAAATTTTTAATTTTCAATTTTTGATGGTGCGAGCAAATGATTTTATACGATCTCATTTGTTGACACATCATGTTTACCCCATTTTAACAACATGCAGAGAGCAAATACACATTGAGGGTTGATGTCGATGCGACGACAGAAAAAAGTAAAAATTGCTAAACTCAGTGCTAGTACACGCAACGGGACACTTACCCACTCCCGGATACGGTTGTATCCCAGGATACGCTGCGTGCTGGAGGGCCGCCTCCCCATTCGGAAGCCCTTGCGCTGGAATGGAGAGATGAAGGGCATCTATATTTCAGTAAATTTCGTTCATGTAAAAGTCTGATCGAAAGATGATTAAAAAGACTGCTGTAAGTCTTTATTCGGTAGACATCGCAATACAACAAACTTTAATGATAGAATATCGTTCGCAGATAAGGTCCGTATTTAGGTCAACGATCTTATTATTATTAAAAAAAAAAATTTTATTCATGAGTAATGCCAGCTAACTGATGTAGTCCTAAGTACGCCCCTGATAATTATTATCGAGCCATATTAAGTAGACATAAAGTAATGTGAATAATAACATTGTAAAGTTTACTTGGTAATTAATTTTTTTAATTTATTTAAAGTCAATTAAAGACTTATTTTGTGAAGGAATAAAAATGATCAGGTTAAAGAGTACAACTACTTTATATTAAGAAATCGGATAATGAAAATTGTATATATTTAGAAATAAAAGTTTTAATGGAACAATGGGGAACAACAATACAGAGAAAAGGCCCATACTCCGTTTATTCTTAAGGGTTTTCTTAGAAAGTTACTAATCGTTTACAGCAGTCAGTCAAAAGACTTGTGCAATTATGCGGTTTTGTATAACCGAAGTACTCTATTCCTTGCAATGACAGTTTAAAGTGTTAATAAGTAATTATAATTTAACTTCATAGAATTAAGTAATTTCCACTATTCACTGATGTCAAAGTGTATGCAATGCAAATATAAGTTAATATTCAATTTTAAAACCGCCATCTAATTTGTCCATAGTTCGTTAAGTAATAATTATCATATTGTGTACACTGACAGTACATGAACAAAATTTCTAGAAATGACTACACACATTCCGCCATTACTCGATTTTACAGCAGTCTTTAATACCTAAGGAAATAGAAAAAATAAAATAAAAGTGTCTAGCATCCCTTTACCCCTATCCAATTTCAATCTCGGTAAAAACACTGACGTCAGCTTGATGATCTCATTTTGTAAATTGCCTTCCTAGGTACTATAACTGACCGATCCGATAACTTATTTTTTCTTCTTATAGCTATTTGATGTTAGTTTTAAAAAAATTATACAATAAATATTTTTGCTGGATTTATTCAGGTTATGGCAGCCCTGTTTTTTTTTTTTTCATTTTTACTGTTTCTACTAGGTTGTGGCTATGATTCGGTCTCGGCTACCAGTAAATATATGTTATCAGGCTGTCCCATTGCTTTTTACAGGGCTAAAAGAGGAATACCGGTGCTGGGAGGCTAGGCACAGCGAAAAATAATACGAGAATCGGAAAGAAAACAATTGACACTTACGGGGTGGATAGGTTTGGGGGATGCCATTCGTATAAACGGCTTCGGTACCCGCCGGCTGCCCGTTCGGCGTTTGGGCAGCCATATTAAACGTGGGCATTGTGGGCGAAGGCAAACTCGGAATAGCGCCATTTACAGGTTGTCCTGAGCCCGTCCCTGTAACAAAATTAAAATAAATAAATGGAAATTTGCAACAAAATTTTAAGTTTCAAAAAAACACAATGATTAAATCAACCTATTGCAATTACTACGCCATCTATAGTTGTTTGTTCGACACCGCATAATGGCAATCAGGTACGTTAGTCGATGTCCTGTCGGATCATTTATGGCGTGCTGAGGAGAGCCAAATAGATCGAAAAATTAAACTCCCCGTAACTACTGGTTGTATCTAATTTGAGTATCGATAAATACGTAAAAGAAGAACAATAAAATGTGAAAGTGTTCCATAAATTCGTTTCGCTGGTATCCTGTAGCTTTTGGACCATTTGATCATCCCCAAAAAACTGAGCGATTCGTCGCTCTTGCTGACTAATATCCTGTTTCTGGATGTAATTGTAACTAACAGGATTCTCTTTGTCCCACATACCGTTCCGTGTTTGCCGTCGAATGAACACCGTTTCACTGGCTTGTTTGTGCACAAACAGACTGAGACTAACACATACATACATGTATCAACACACTAGTTCCAGGTCTTGGTTTGAGTCGTGTTTGTGCGTCTCGTTGAGGTATATCTGGACCTCTTGGTAAACGTGGCTTGATATTTCACTTATAATAACGATAATTACAACTATCCAATTATTAAGAGACGCTCAAAACAAATTAATGTGGTCCAATTTACGGATTAGGTTTATAATCGAAAGCTTGGGGTCTATATGGGGATTATCTTTTTGTTTAGGGATTTACAACTAACGCGTAATGCCTATTAAGAAAATTGCCTTCATAGATAAAATTTTTACCTGTCACAAAGTGTTAATTAATTATTCGTAGTTAAGTTTAGGTTAGCAAGGCACCTTCTCAGGCATAAAGGGCTAGTTAGAGACATTAGAAGCAGAAACAGGAGTTAAGAGGAGTAGAGGTAGACCCAGATTAGATAACCGTTCACAAATAGTTAAGGTTGTGGGATGTTCTAGTTTTAGGGAAATGTGAAGATTAGGTCAGGATAGAACAGAGTGGAGGTGCGTGTCCAGTTTTAGGACTGATGACCTTATGATGATGATGAAGATACAATTTATTGATATCCCACTTCAAATACGCGACCAAATTAGTTAAATATGACACATAAACATCAAGATTTAACGTAAGCAGACGTAGGGGTAGAAGGGTTCAATTGTTTCTATTTTTTGTTGAGAAAAGAAACGAGAGACAAATCGTAAATTTTATGTAAAATAAGAACTTTAAAATGATTAGTAATTTTAAATCGTATTCTTTTTATATTTATCATTCGGCGAAGAGGGATGACCACAATTCTGACGACCTTACGATGACGATGAAGTTAAATTAGAAAGCCCTTTGTGCTATCTTCCCCAATGATATATTACGATATTTTCAATTAAAACCAGCCAGACAGGGGTCAAATGTTCTTTACTAATTATGTAATTCCATCGACGTTTCGCCTTCCGATTTAATGCTTTTTTAAGAAGAACATTTCAGCCCTTCTACTTTTAATTGAAAAAATCTTAAAATAGGGAGGCTGCGTATAGAAAATAGTCAAGTTTTACATACAAAATGTAAATACTGGGATACTATTGATACAAAAAAGGACAATGATTAAACATAAGAAGCAATGTTCAGTTTAGTTTCAATGTTATGTGATGAAATAAAAGTGAATCAGGGTAGTACTGCAGGTATAGAAAATAAATAAGCTGCATTTTTCAACCGAATAAACACGTTTGATTGTCCTCTTCCTTTATAAAACAGTCACTACCGTAAAACCGAATTAAAAACATTTTCCTTGATCCTTTCGGTTGAAAATTGGAAATAAAATTCCGGCGACAAAGCGGCTCGATCGTACTTATTGATCGACGGCGACGAATCTTTTATTGGTGGATAATTTAATAAGAGCGAAATGCGACATTACACGTGTTGATGACAATCTGAAAGTGCATGTCGTTAAAGTAAATGGTCTTTCCATCCGTCTTATTTATGACCGTTTAGGTGCATTTCGCTTAATAAAAGTCGCGAATAAGACAACGTCGCCGTCCCCGAGATCACAGTCAATTCGTTTATCTCATGCCGCAGAGTCATAAACCTGCCACCGGGTGCAAAGGGAGACAAATACGCGCCAACGACTACTATCATATCCTGGTTCTTAGCAGAATTAATATATATATGCAGAAGTATATCTTTCTACATATATGCGAGTGTGTAGTGGTCCCGGAAACTTTTAGAGTAATGCTAGCAATTTACCCCAGTAATAAGGTGCAACCAAGACGAATGATGTTTCTCGTCTTTTATTCCCTGCACTGGTAAGATTAAACTAAGACAGCTAATAACAATTTTTGAACGGGTACATAATTTAGGATTTCGTTAGGAAAATTGTTCATTAAAAGTTATTATCCAATGTAACCTTTAAGGCGCTAAGGTGGGCTCTAAATTGTTACCCTCCGTTTTTTTTTCTAATGAAGGAGAAATTTCAAAAGAATAATCTTCGCTCGTTACGGGTTATAGTAAGTATAAAGGCTTTAAGAATTAAAAAGAAAAAGGAAGTTATCAAGGATATTAAGTTTTAATTTACTTGGAGAGAAAGAAATGCAGGAACCTGACTCCTATCGTGTGGTTTTGCTGGCGTGAATAAAATTAAATATAGTTGAGATAAATAAAATTGGCATTATCGTTGGGAATGGACGTTTCTTCTTTCCTGTTTCCACATGGGACTGCAGTCATTTGGTGCGTTTTGAACACGCTCTTGTTAATTTAAGAAATGCTTCATGAGTAGCGTAGACAAAGTGAAAAAGATAACCGATTAACAGCGGTTAGAGGTTGCTTAGGTATACAAAATATCAGGGTCGGCTTTATAACTTCTTGATTGTAATTACACAGGGGGCGTTTTTATGTTCGCGGAATGGGGGTAAGAAGTGGAAATAAAAGCTTCTTAGTCGTATGAAGATTTCTTCTTTTCCAGTTTGGGAATAGGCATAAAGTCTTGTTTGAACTGAGGTTCATAATGATAAACCCAAGTTTCGTCCCCAGTAACAATTCGAGTCAATACTTCATCTTAATATTTATTACAGAGATCCAAAAACAGGCGAGAACACTCCACTCGCTGTTGTTTTTGAGGAGTGAGCATTCTCGGCACCCAACTTGCGTTCACTTTAGTCATGCCGAGATGATCCTGAAGAATTTTAGAAATGGTTGTATCTGATACCTCTACCATTTTTTAACTCGAGCATCTTCCAGTATTAATTTTTCGAATTTTTGAATGATTTCCGGATGGTCACTTCGATCGACCGGCCTTATCATGAGTCGTCTTCAAGTGAGTCCCTGCCTTACTTAGAGGGTATGCCATGGTTTTACCTAAGCAAGGATGACATCTCTTCCAGTATGGTTTGAACTGATTTTCCTTGCTTGGTAAGGAACTTTATAACAGCGCGGTACTCGATTTTCTCCATATTTCACAATTTGTTCCCGACTGACTTGTTTGGTCGACGATACTTCAGAGACTACTGACCTAATTACGATAAAACTTGGTATTTATACTAATAATGATTCGTAACGATTCGAGTAAGTACCTTCACTAATGACCTATCTAGCCATTCCGCGAACTTTAAAACGCACCCTAGTACAATTAAACAAGCGTCCTTGCTATCCTGAATTCCTTAGAATGTCGAACTTTGTTTAAAGTCCGACGTTGACAACATTCTTAAATTCTGCTTGTCTGCTCTGTTTCTCTTTCTGTTAGACATCAATTGGTGTAATGTCATTCCTTCATCTTTATTAGTGTCCGCTGCAATTCCTACCTGACATCTCTTTTCTATGTTTACGATATCCCCTATAACGTCTACCTCGAGTAAAAGCAGGCGTTCTCTCAGCAACCGCTCTAGTTTAGTTAGCAAGTTGAAAGAAGAAAGTAAATGCGACAGTTTTATTGCGGACTATGCCAATTTTGAGCGTTCTAATTATATTTAGTTTGTTTGTTAGTTCTTCGGAATCAAGCAATTCAATGGCAATTAAGTTAGAATTAATAAAAAATTGGTTTATTGATATTAACGACAAAAATTTGTTTACTGCGAACGTAAAACCTAATAACAGGAATTCGAAATAAAATATTTCGTTTCAAAAGAGATACGTTCTTTTAATATCTGTAACATTGATAAAAACCGGCAATTTTGTTTGCGATTTTCGTTATTAAAATATTTCAATGCGACAAATTGAAAGCGGTCCGTTAGGACTGGAATAATTTTTAATTCGGACTCATTTTCAACGCTTTAATTAATTGAAATCGTTATTGCCTTTTAATATCACTGCCGCAGGCAATTACATGAGCCGAACATTTTGTATTAAATAAAATACCAGAAATACGACCCTTGCGTACTCTACATATGTTTGAACACGAATTATTGCGCTGCTTGTAGCTATTAGCCGTATGAATAGTTAACAGAAAGTGCACGTCTACTATATTAACTATGGATTAACTTTCATCGAATGCATGGCGTAAGGGATACATACATATGCATAAAAAGCAATAAAAAAAAGGTTAAATAAGAATCGAACTCACACATTATACTCATGGATGGCGAGGTTTCAGGGAAAGCAGGAATAAATACCAGTTTAAAATATGGCTAATATTTCAAAATAACGATAGTCTTCTCGCGCATAAAGGCTGTCGCACACTTGTCCGTCCCGTCTCTTCAAAATACGGATGGGATAGAGGCAATGCGGCAGAGAACGCTATATGCTATGGCATCGTGAGCCGGCGATGACCACTATCATCTTGTCGAAACCTTTTGGGTGAATACCTGTTTTGCAAATTTGCAATATTTTGGCAATTGTTCAAAGTTAGAGCAAAGAAAGTTCGTCATACATGCTCCTCCTTCACTTTTTATTTTCTTGTTCTGCCAATAATGCAGCTATTACTATTACTTTTTCGTCATCAGAACTGCTGCTTTGAGACATGATGAAACTGTCACTGCTGCATACAAAATAAATTAACATAAAAACAAATTTCACGACATATGACGGTTTGTCAGTCGGAATGGTGGGGGACGAAATATCCGTCGTCGCCGGACGACTAACTAACAGCTCTAATTATTCCTTTTTCAGTGCCTATTGATGGCCCCAAATACTTTTATTTCTTTCCGCCACGTTAATGCGAGTATACTTTTGCTTACTTGCTCAGGTACAAATACATGCATGTTTAGTGACTTTTCCCCAATTGAAAATGTAACGTGCGCCACTGCGTGAGTATTGCACCTTTCACAAAATTAACGACGATGAAAGTATTATGAAGTTTTTTCATCACCGTGACCAGTAATTTGTTCGGAGAATCAAGAAATCCACGAAAGGGAAACGTTGTTAAAATTGTAGGTTATTGGAAAACTTTCGTTAAAGTTAACAAGCTTATACGAAAAATACCTGATGTGGGTGGAACAACTGAGTTGGCCATACCGTTAAGGGTGGCGTGTGGTATTTGAGTGGCCAGAGCTGCCATCGGATTAATGTAAGTTCCCTGGGCAGTGGCTGCCGCCATTAAAGCTGCTTGTTGCTGAAACAAAAACAAAAACGATTTAAATATTCTTATTTCCTTGTAGCACACGGATTTGTATGCGGCGATTTGTCGCATTTACAACACCCGGATGTGTACGTTTTCTTTGTCGAAACGGTCGCTTCCTAGCTGTCAAAGTTATCTGTTCATTTCTTATAATTAGATGAAAATTATAACGGCCTGATGCGCAAATTAACGAAAAAAGGACTCGGTGCAATTAAATGAAAAGGAAATAAGACTCTCGGCTGTTTTTCAATCATTGTCGTAATCATTTCACTTTTTTTTCTCTCTTTCTCTGTTTCGAACAAGAGGGCGTCCAATCAACCAAAAGTTAATTTATTTAATTTTTCGAATCGATCGCGATGTTCACGTGATGATGGCTTGATTACTTGCTCGAAAGCTTCTGTTTCCGCCTGAGCGCACCCATTTTCAAAGGGAACGACGGAAAAACGTTCTAACTGTCGAAAAAGTCGAACCAATCTACATAATTGCAAAAGTTGGAGAAGACGGACGAAAGGACGACTCTACGACCAGATGAATAAAGCAAGAAGAAAGAGGTCGCTGAAGAGGTGGTGGTGTTTGAGAAGGGGGAGAAAGAGGAGCGGAGCAGATCTTGGCCTGGCCAGTTTAAAAACTGATCCGATGATTAAAAGTTTCCTTAATTGATATTATGAATTTGCAAGTTAACGATGTTCCAAATCGGAGATGCCGATAATACATTTCTATTGACTAATTTCACTACCGACTCAATTTATCAAAACATCATCTCTGCCTTAATTAAATTAACATTTACAATTCATGCTTGTGAGAGAGAGTATAAGAGACTAAAGAAGATGTTAATATAATCTATATATATAAATAAAAATGAATCGCTAAATGTATTGCTAAGCGCAAAACGGCTCGACTAATTTTGATATTTTTTTTCAAAAGTCCGAGGAAGGTCCTTATAAAGAGAAACATTGCCCAGAAAAACGTAAAAACCTCACTTTTCTTTTCCAATGCAAACCACAGGGTAAATTAAAACATCTGTTCGCAGCTGTCAAACACTTGACGTCAATCAAAACAAAATAAATTGCGTTTCTCTTATTTAATTATTTATTTTTTATATTGGACTGAGATAGGTCAATAACTTTTAACAGAACAAAGTTTGTCGGGGCAGCTAGTTTCAAATAAATTTTTTTTGGGTATTTCATCCCCACCAACCACTAGCAGTCTCTCCGGACTACACCGGAAGGTAGCGCGGAAAGCCCACTTCAGCCTCCTTTCAGGAATCGTGGGAACGAATGAGTGGTGGTTCGAGTGTGAAACATGAGACTGACGAAATGAAGGCAGAAGAGAATGAATGATTATCTGTGGAATATTACTGGATTCGGGCGAGAAAGGTGAGACGGACGAAATGAAGACAGAAGAAAATGAAAGATCATCTGTGGAATGTTACTGCCCCAGCAATTGGCCATGTGATTCAAGGAAACCACAGAAAAACATGAACTGAGACAGACGGACCCGGAATCGAACCGGCGTCTTCCCGAATGCCAAGCAATGGTCTAAACTTCTAGACCATGCCGCTCGATCAGGTGTCACCGAGAAGAGAGAAAATTAATATTGTCGGCACCGTAAAAGCAGAGCATTCCTTCCTATACCAACTGTCCATGTAGTGGCATTCCCACTAAAACCTACCCCTATGCAAAATCAGAGACTTGAAACTTTTGTTGGTGTAAATAGATCTACCTGTGCGTATGCTCCGTAAGCTCCAAACTGGTTGAACACGAACGGATTCAGAAGACTCATGTTTCCGGCCATCTGCTGCATTCGTCTTAGTTGTCGCTCTTTTTCAGTATCTGCAAACTTTACTACTAAGCTGGAAGAGGCTCCCTGAAACAAAAGTATAACCAGTATTAGTCATTAAAAATAAACAATCTCTCATTATTGTATACTAATTTACACTTATATTAACAAGTCGGTATAAAAAACGAAAGTAGTGGATGTAAACATATTTCCTTATAAGAAAACTAGAGAAGACAGTTTTCTTTTAAATTTAGTGTTCAATAAATTCATTGCGCCGTTTGTAGTATTTTCTAAAACGCACTGTTAAGACAGCAGGTAAAAGTTGGTCTGTGTTCTGTCGGAGCTGCCTGCGACGCGCTGATGAGATCCAAAAAGATCGAAATCGNAACATGTTGAATACGAGTGATATTATCCAGTACCTGCAATGAAACGAATTACAGAAAATTTTAGGGGATAGTTGACAACGAATGCAACATCTGGATAACCAGAATGGCGCCGGCTGTTACCCGCCGCTGTTAAATTATCGTAGATCTAAAAACTACGCTATTACATTTAAAAAAAAAATTCTGGAATTAGAACTGCTGCAAAAAAGTAAAAGCATTCTTATCAGGCATGAAGGGCTAAGGTAAGATGAAGTTGAGATGCGTGTCCATGGGCTAAAGACCTTATGATAATAACGATGAAACAGCATACATGAAAATGTTATTTTTGTTAAGGATTCTTAATATACACGACAACCAATCGCAACTAATTAATTTTTAAATTATGAGGAAACGCTAAATCTACACTAATTAAAAGATAATTACGCTTGTTTGAGTAGAATACGGATCGGCAATAATCTACCAAAAAAAAACAAGTGAGAAAGTAAGATATATATATACGGCAGAAGAAGAAGAATAGAAAAATTAAAATGAGAAGGAAATTTTGTGACTTTCCGAAAGTTGTTTTCAAGTAATTAAGATTCAATTTTTTTTAATTAGAAGAATTCGCGTTTAGAGTTTTTTTTTTGTAGCACTCATTAAACTTGACGACAATAATAATAAGGGGACGTAAACAAATCAAATTTTACTTTAATCACCCAAGCCTTTGCGGAAAGAAAATGCCGAAGTGAAACAAATTATTAAACTTATTTTCTTTTATAATAACTTTTTAATTGATTCTTAAAAGGCTTAACGAGACGAATTATTCAGTCATATAACATTGCGTAAAGTTTATAAATTGTCTTCAAAACTTATTAACGCTTTATAAAAATTGACGTCATCGCGAAAATTTCAAACGACCAAGTTCGAAGTAAAATATTGTATTAACAGAAAAATCTTTGGTTATCATTTGCCATAAATAAAAATTATTAATTAAACCTCAAAGACTATATTTAAGACTTTTGAAGATATTAACTTTATTTCTTAAAAAAAAAAAGCAATATGAAAGGCATAACTGAAAATTTCGATACCCTTGTGGTTTAGAGAATCAGGGGCGAAATTTTCATTTTACATATTTGCCTATTCAAATTATGTATGAATGTATATTTCGGGGAGTTGATATAATAGAGAAAAATATTGTCTGGAAAACAAACAAAAAGAAATTGCGGACCCAACGTGCCCCTTGCTCTCCGTTCTCCGTCCCCTCCCACCATCCCGTTTTCGAGTTTCGTTACAGAAAGGGTATTTAACTCACTTTCCTAAAGATATTTGTTTTGATCGATAGGGCCCGTCTCTGCCAAGCAAATATTTAAAGAATTTAATGAGATTTTCAATGTAACGTCGGAGAGTAAGAATGTTCGTCGGCTAATAAAACACTTTATTATATTTCTCTCCCAATAAAGATGGCTTCTAAAATTAAATCGACTGTAAAAAGAAGGCAAGGCAATCAAGCACAGCATGCGAAGTAGAAGATAAAGAAGAAGAATAATAATAATAAGAAGGAGAAGAGGACGAAGCAGAAGGGTTAGAAGGCATCTCTTCGCTTGTTTCATCTTTCAGAAGAATTAAAATTAGAGCATGGCAATTAGTTTTTTTGGCTATAAAAGCAAACCTTAAACGAAAAGCGTTTATGTTGATCTTATAAAATTCCAGCCAATATCACTTCTTAAACTCTTCACGAAGACCTTTTAAGCTATATGAAATTAAGGCTTCTAAATGATAGGCACTGGCATAAAGTTAATGTTGCTCAACTCATATTTTCTATATAATTTTTAGCCTTTTGTCCCGAAATTACACCATAATTATGAAAACGTATTCACGAAATAAGTATAGACGTGGACAGAAAATTCATTCTCCGTTATTGGTTTACAATTTACAAATATTCTCAGTTCGAATAAAATAATTCGAAGTGATCTGTATTCTGTCGAAACTGCCAGACGCGGATCGCGATTTCGATCTTTTTGGATCTCATCAGCGCGTCGCAGGTCGTAATCTTAAAATGTAGCATCGTGCTACAGATGGCGTTTACTGCGCCATTTGTAGTATTTTCTAAAACGCACTGTTAAGACAGCAGGTAAAAGTTGGTCTGTGTTCTGTCGGAGCTGCCTGCGACGCGCTGATGAGATCCAAAAAGATCGAAATCGCGATCCGCGTCTGGCAGTTTCGACAGAATACAGACCACTTCGAATTATTTTATTCGATTAAGCTAACGTGCCTATCACGTTGAGGTTGGCTACGCCGGGATTCGTTTTCAGCAAGTAGATATCCACACAAGTGGACCTTGTTGGAGCATACGTAATCCTAAAATGTAGCATCGTGCTACAGATGGCGTTTACTGCGCCATTTGTAGTATTTTCTAAAACGCACTGTTAAGACAGCAGGTAAAAGTTGGTCTGTGTTCTGTCGGAGCTGCCTGCGACGCGCTGATGAGATCCAAAAAGATCGAAATCGCGATCCGCGTCTGGCAGTTTCGACAGAATTCGGACCACTTCGAATTATTTTATACGATTAAGCTAACGTGCCTATCACGTTGAGATTGGCTACGCCAGAATTCGTTTTCAGCAAGTAGATATCCACACAAGTGGACCTTGTTGGAACATACGTAATCCTAAAATGTAGCATCGTGCTATAGATGGCGTTCGCTGCGCCATTTGTAGTATTTTTTAAAACGCACTGTTAAGACAGCAGGTAAAAGTAGGTCTGTGTTCTGTCGCAACTGCCTGCGACGCGCTGGTCAGATCCAAAAAGATCGAAATCACGATCCGCGTCTGGCAGTTTCGACAGAATACAGACCACTTCGAATTATTTTAGTGTTCAATGTTGCAGTGTATCGGCATTTCAACTTTCCCGCATTATCTTGCATGCAATTGCTGTGAATTCGAGGAATTTCACCGTCTACGGACTTTCAATATTATGCTTGTCATTCGAACGCGTTCAAAACATCACAACGAAGGATTCCATTCCGTTCTTTTTATCTCTTCTTCGCACCGTTGCCCCGACAAATCTATTAGCGATCGTTAAATCCAAACCGAGTGCTATCCAATTCGACGTTTCTTCCTCTTTCTTCACTTTGCTCAATCCCTTTCTCTCTCTCATTCATCCGATCACCGATGTCGATCAAACGCCGTTCTATTATTAGACAACTTGAAAAATTCTCTCACCCTAAGGCTGTCGTTAGTAATAATGGGGAGAAAGTAGCCCTTCAAGACAATATCATGATACCGAATCGCAAGATTCTACCTTCGCCCACACAACTAGCACCACTATACACTTGATAAACTTCTTCGTCAAGGAAATTTTTCGCATTTGTTAAACTCCCGAAAAGAAACTAGCAAATGAAAAAGTTTTTGCTCTGGAACCAAAGCTGATGCAACTGTGACAGCTGATGATAGAATTTTCTGGAATTAACTGTTTTTTAAAACGTTTAGTCAGAAAATGGGAGAGTTCCTCAGACATACTTTAAATAACAGAATATTATCGTTCAATAGTAGTTGCTAATTTTAACGTATTGTAGGTGGAATTAAACAATTGTCAAATGTCTATATTCGGTATTCATTCTGAAGATGCCTTTTGACCCTAAAAGTTTCATAAAAGAAAATACTACAAATAGCGCGGTAAACGCCATCTGTAGTACGATGCTACATTTAAGGATTACGTATGCTCCAAAACAAGGTCCATTTAAATATATGGATATCAACTTACTGAAACAAATTTCGGCGTAGCCAACCTCAACGAGATAGGCACCTTAGCTTAATCGAAAAAAATAATTCGAAGTGGTCTGTGTTCTGTCGAAACTGCCAGACGCGGATCGCTGTCTGCAACGCGCTGATCGGATGGCGATTTCGATCTTTTTGAATCTCAACGTTGACGTGAGCTACGCCGGGATTCGTTTCAGCAAGTAGATATCCATATTTTTTTAAATGGACTTTGTTGGAGCATACGTAATCCTAAAATGTAGCATCGTACTACAGATGGCGTTTACCGCGCCATTTGTAGTATTTTCTAAAACGCGCTGTTCAGACAGCAGGTAAAAGTTGGTCCGTGTTCTGTCGGAGCTACCTGGGACGCGCCGATGAGATCCAAAAAGATCAAAATCGCGATCCGCGTCTGGTAGTTTCGACAGAATACAGATCACTTCGAATTATTTTATTCGATTAAGCTAACGTGCCTATCACGCTGAGGTTGGCTACGCCGAGATTCGTGTCAGCCAGTAAATATCCACACACAAGTGGACTTTGTTGGAGCATACGTAATCCTAAAATGTAGCATCATGCTACACATGGCGTTTACTGCGTCATTTGTAGTATTTTCTATTCTCAGTTCATATATAACTAACTGTGAGACAGGACATAAACGCACAGTTTATCAAAAAAATTAAAGAGGACGCGTCCCAATATACAATGGACAAAGTAGTCGATCTCTGAAAGTGAGGAACAAAGAACGTAAATATAGGAATAATTGAATTCCACTAGTACCTTTTAACGTTGCGTTACATTTAGACACATTTAAGATACAGAAAATATTCTTACTCTTACACACTTTGTAGCAGAAATTAAAAAATTAGCCTAAATATAATTAAAAATGTCAGATCCAATAAAAAAAAATGTACACAACTTCATGACGATTACTGACACAAATATCCTACTCATAATTTGAGTATAAA